TATATATATATATATATAATACCTAAGTTTTCCTCAAGAATATCGATCTCGCTCGTGTCGTTACACTTATTACAACGAAATAACGCGACGTTGCCTAGGAAGTAAAGCGTTACTTGGACGGAGGGTCTAATACTTTGCCGTTGGTGCGCACTTTGATGTTGTACCTGTAGGCCGGTTCCGCCTCTGGCAGGATCGTGCTGCTGTCGTCGTCCTGGTCCTTCATCATCGCGGAGTCGGCCGACGGCGAGTCCTCCGCCGGTTGGTCATTCACGTAGTCCTGCACGCTGTCGTACGGTCCGATCGTGTGGGCGTCCTCGAGGCCGTTGTTCGGCAGCTCGGTCTCCGCCGTGAGGTCGCCGTAATCGGCCGCCTCCGAGCGATGCTCCATCCTCATGTCCGTCAGGGAGGACGAGGAGGAGGAGGGCGAGGAGAAGGGAACGACGGGACGGGCCGCCGACGGTCGTAGGATCTCGCGGGTCTCCAGGCCGTCGAAGACGCTGTCCTTGCGCGCCTGCGACACGGCTGCGTGCTCGGTGAAGAGGCTCGCGATATCCGGGATGTGCTCCGGCCGGCTGTCGTCCACCAGCTCGCCGACCGCCGACGAGCGCTCGTGCTCGTGAACGTCCTCGTACAGCGACGTCGCCGACGTCGTCGTTCCCGTGTGCTGCTGCTGCTGTTGACTGCCAGGTGCGGAAGTGGCCGTGGTGATGAGCCTGCTGACGACCGGGTCCTCTGGTAGATTCTCTTCCGCCCCGGACGCGTCCGCTCGCGGTGGTGTCGCCTGCTCGTCCAGAGGGTCGGTTCCCGGGTGGTGCTCGTGATCGTCGATGATGGTGCTGTCGGTCTCGCGATCACTCGTCGCCTGGTCGTCGCTGACGGGCGCCGAGGTGGTCGTAATGTAGGGCCTGTGGTTTCTGCAAGGGCCACAGAGAGAGAGAAAGAAAGGTTCGTTTATACTGGGTTTCGCCTTGGATCGTCGTTGTTCCCTTCTTCTTCCTCCGTTTCTCAATTCAAAATTCAAGCAAGCCTGATCGTCTGTCGCGAGGGACTCTACGGAGGAAATGCCGACTCTGGGCAGTGTGTGTGTGTTATCGTTAGTAACCTGACTTAAGCGCTATATTATCAGCGGACAAAAGCGTAGCTTCGCTCGCTCGGCACCACTCGAGAAACCCCTCTTCATCGTTCGTGCGTTCTCGTCTGAATCGCGCGTCGAGTGAAGCCATACTTTCTGCTAGCTCGCACGTGTGCGTGCGTGCATGTGAGTACGCGTGTGTGTGTGCGTATGTACGGTGTGGACGATGAGAGATGTTTCGCTGGTCGGTGAGTAGTGTGCGTGTGCGTCAAGAAGCGAGAGAATGACTGCGTTATTGAGAGTTAAGCTGGGCGAAGACACTTGCGCAGGATCCCGGCGATATCGCGCGGCCGAGCTATTCCCCGGCCGTCCACATTCCCATCCCGAAGCTACTAGGTATGCGGGCAAGATCCCCCCCCAAGGGGGGACTGGTTTCAAACGCCGTCGTTATCGAGATCTAGCGCGGTTAAATATACACGCATAATCGTTCCCCATTCTGCCGCGCGGCCAACTGCGGAAGAGAAGCCGTTTTCGCGCTCTCGTTTCTTGCAAGCGAACGCCGAGCTCTCGAAGGAAAAAGCTCCCCCCGCTTCCCGACGGTGCTGATTAAATAAAACCGCGTCCTCGTCTCGCGTCCTCGTGAACTTGCCGTTTATACGCGCGAAGAAAAGAGACGAGTCTCTCTCTCTCTCTCTTTCTCTCTGTAAACTGGAGAACAGAATTGCGGAGACGGCCGCTTATATACTCACGAGCGTAAGCGTGTAATAATAAATTTTCATACCGTGGCCGTCGCGCCATCGTACCCCGCATACTTCGGTAGCATGACGGATAAAACGTTCGATTATCGCGACGCGTTTTGCATATCTTATCGCTGGAGTCGTTTACTTTCTGTCCGTGCAAAAGCGAGATTCACCTTGAGTACATTGACATTCCCCGACTCTCCCTCTTTACCTTCCATTTCCCTTTACCCCTCGCACACTCTATCACTCCCTCTCCCTCTTTCTTTCGTTCTCTCTTTCTCTCTCCTTCCTTCCGACGGGCTCGTGTATTTTTGTGACAAGTATTATCTCACCTCTTACCCCTGAGTCGCGGAGACTGGAATGCTGCCGTAATTGTAGTAGTAGCATCTTGTTTGCTCGCAGATAAAGTCCTTCACGAGGGTGCAGTCCTGCGCCTCCCAGGCTAACGTAGGTGCCATCATCGCGACGCATCCGTCCGCGCTGCCGCTGTCGCCGCTGAAACCGAGAGACCTCGCGTTTTGGAATTTAAACGCCCTCGTGAACGCGGCCCTCGACACGCGCGTCGTTAGATATTCCACGCGCGTATCCGGGTGTTAAAAGCGTCGGATCGCGGAAGAGCCGGCCGACAATCGTTATTCGTGATAACAGCACGGTCGATTAGCGAGCGATACCTCGACTTCGGGAGAAGGTCGGGCCTTGTTGTCATCTCGAAATTGAACTTGGCTTTGTCGGTGATATCAAGCGAGAGATATTTAACGAGATGTCTTCTTATATCTCAATTCTGATTTCTCTCTTTTTTTTTTTTTATAGGATCGCACACAGAGAAAAATATTATTGAACTATGAAAAGCAATTATCCGGTTCATTTTTCTCTTAAAAGTAGTGGTTATCTTAAACAAAGAATCCTTTTTTTTTTGAGATAATAGTATTAAAATATACTCGTCACAGATATTAGAAAAGCTGATTGTCGTGTATTCAAGAGAAGAATTGTTCCCTCTTTTCAAGAATAAACTTTATCGAGGAAAAATTAACCCGATTAATCCGAATAAGCGCGCGTGAACCGAGGTTTGTTTCAATTTAATAATCTCGACCGAAGTGTCAAACTTGCCAGAATTCAGGATATACTTTGAATAAATTTCATGAATTTATGATGAACTTATGATGTACTTGCGAGTGTGCAAACTTATGCGAAGTACTTGAAACAAATAACGTTTACCCGAATGCAGTATGTATTCTTCTCTGTGTGTACGAAAACCCCACGCGGTACCAGAAGTCTGATCAGATTTGTAACACCTGACGGTGAAGGTTAGCGCGACGATAAGGCGCCCTTTTCTCTTATCGGGACTTTCGAGCAGCCCGGCTAATCTTTATCATCCTTCATGCTCTGCATTTTAACTTCATTCGCGATAACAAAAGACACCTGGAGGGATCTGTCTGCTTGAAGCACGATGAAAGAGACGTTACCTTTCGCGTGCCACTCTCTGGGGCTCGGTGCCGGGCGGCACGTCGGCGGGTCTGTTGCCAGGTCGCTTCAGCATGTAGTCGAAGGTGACATTGAAGGGGAGTCCGGTGCTCATCCAGAGAAACATGTCCGTGCCAAGCTTGTTGCCGGATGTCCAGAAGTCATACTTCGTGTAGCCGGCATTCTTCAGGTACTGGGTCATCGTGTCGGCCTTCTCTTTCGTTTCGAAAGACGCCAACTGCAGGCCCAGCGAACGGCAGTATTGGTACGCCAGGAAGTAGTTCAGCTCGGGACTGTAGGGGTTCATTCGCGAGACGAAGTACTGTATGCCATCCAGCTGGATCGTTGTGATTCTTTGGGCTGCGAACGAAACGTTTCCCGTTGTGACTCCCTCTCCTTCGCAACGCCGGAAACGCGTCGTCACGCGTGTTTCACGTTTCGAGTTCTACGTCAGGCTTTGCGAATCGCACTATATCGTGCAGGTCGCGCCGTTTCTCATGCGAAATTAGAGCGCGAGCCGGTTGCTCCGATTCCCACGGTAGGCGCGATAGAACGCAATAAACGCGGTAAACGCGTAAACACGCGTGACCCAACGAAATAACAGACGGCCATCAAAATGAACAAAATATTGTAGACACGACTTTATGTCACCTGAGCTCCCCGAGTCGAGATTATTCTTTCCACATTTCCCGATCACCTCGTTTATGCGAAAGTGTCATTAAGAACTCTATAAATAATTATTACAGGAAGGTCTCCGCTGTCTCCGATCGATCTATCGAAAGAGGAAAAGGGGAAAATAGCCTCCTCCCCCCCTCTCTCGAGTCATCGGAGCACGTGTCTGTCATTGACTTCCGACAGGGCCGCAAATGGCAGCGGAGACTCCCGGGAATAATTCGCCCGGTGAATTCTAATCCGGTTAACACCCCGCTTCTTAGTATCACGAGGGTCGTGATTGAGAATCGTAACGCATACTCGCTCGCTAAAAACATGCGTCGCGCGAGTCTCGCTGCAAATAACACCGACGTATCAGCGTAATCGTTGTTTCAACGCGTCTGAAAATAATTCGCAGTGCGATGACGAAATCCTCAGAGCTGGTCGCGCGCCGACTCGGTCGATTACGTAATCCGTCGCGCGGAAGACCTTTGAATTCGTAATCGTCCGCTAAGTAGCGTCGTTATTACGTTGCGCGCGAGCGTTACAATAGAGCGAGACACGCGGGTCTCTCGTAAAAGGTTGTAAATTCAAGCGACCGCTTCTTCATCTTCTTCACCTTCTTCTTCCTTTTCGGGCCCTCTTGCAGCGGCCACCGCCGCACATTCGTAATACGATTTTAATTTCACTCTAAATGCGCGGAGCCGCCGGCGCGTTTTTCGCTTCCGCCGCGCACAATGACTCGGAGCTTCGAAGAGAAGAAGGCCGTTTCTTCACGCACGATACATCGGCTCGCGAGTTCATTGAACCGCCACGGCTATTTGGTTAACTGTACTTATGAATTATGTGACGCGCGCGCGCCAGCCACACTCCCGAATAGCGCTTAGGTAACGAACGTCGCGGTTCAACAACGTGCGTCTCTCTCTCTCTCTCTCTATCTCTGTCTATTACTCTCCCTGGATCCGTTCGTGTTCCTCGCTCAGAATCTACGACGGAGCCTCTAGGGATACTTCATACTTGAGCGTGTAATCCATGAAAGAAGGCGGCGCCGAATAATGCAACAACGTGGTAATTGCATGCTTAAGCCGGTCCGGTCGAGGCGAACTTGAAACTTCGCGCGTTCATCTCGTGCCGCGAGAGACAAAGTCCGGATCTTGGAACGGGTCGTGAATCTACACACGTGGAATTTTCAACGAGAAAAAGCAAATGAAAGAATTCTTCCTCCCTTCCTTCGACACGCGTCTCGAGAGGCCTGGCTAAAGGCCGGTTCCCAACGCCACTTATCCCTGGTAAAGAAATTTCATGCACTTTCCTCAGCAATTACCGAACGATTTATCAACTCCTGTCCGGTAACTGAGGAATGAAATAACTCGGGATCTCAACCAAGGTCGGGTATATCAGGTGTCCGGGAAAACTGCGTGCACTTCTACAAGGGAGTTTAAATGAATAAGAACTGAAATAAAAGAATGCAAGGGAGAGGATCGACGAGATCGACGAGATCGATCGAAATATAAAACGCACGGGAATGGAATGGAGAGATAAAGAGACGCGAGAAGGATAGGAAGCGAGAATAAGTATCGAGACGAACATCGCGAACGATCTATAAACGCAGCGTAATCGGCCGATCGGGGCTTCCGAAGGGAGGACGAGGAGCTCGGGAGCATCCCCTCCGTCGGCCGCGTCTCCCGAGTTCGATGGCTCGATGATATTGAAACGACTGGCCGCGGGGAAATTCTGCGTGTATGCAAATTGAATCGTTAAATCGACACGGGCGACACGGCCGGAACGAGATATCCGTCTGACAGGAATGTCGCAAGAAGTCCAGTCACGGCTGTGGAGACTTCGCGGAGCGCATCCGGAGCAAAAACGTTCCGGATCGTGAAGTCGGACGTGCAGGTGGTGGTAAATGACCCGAAGGCCTTGAGACGTCTGCCCAGGCGGTGTGCGCGCGCCAGCGAAAGAAGAAGAGAGGCGACCGGGACTAGTCGCTTTGAACTACAGCTCCGTTCACGTAATGCGCTCCGGCTAATGATTTTCGATGAGCGAAGGGGGAACACGCGCGCCTTGTACCTCTATAAATGGACCGGCTAAACGTTCGCTCGCTGTATAACCCTTCGCCTATTTTTAATAACTGTAGCGAGAGGCATGCCGAATACCTTCCAGGGCCGTTCCGAGACCTTCGCGCGCCCCTAACTCGCGCTTACTCGCGCGAATATACCGCGACGCGGGTGAATAAGTACGGCGAAAGAATTCGCTCTACGATTTTTCGAATTTCTCGTCGGGCCGAGTCATAAATAATCTTCCGACGAAGGCGCAGTTATTTTCTCCGAGAGCTCACGAAGAGTCAACGAGCTGCGAGTAGTGTGAGATCTGGATATCGGAGATTGAGAATCGCGAAACGCAGATCGGAGCTCGATCGATCGGGACAAAACAAGCCGGCGAAATTAATCGACTCGTCGGAGAAAGTGTCCGGTATTCGGACCGTCGAGAGTGAAGCACGGATTTTACGGTGCTGCGTGGGAATGCGAATTTTCGCGTGGAAATAATCCGAAAGATTCACCGTAATATTCGTCCGATCCTCATTTTGTGCGTTCGTTCCCGACGACCTGAATAGTGAATATTTTCTTTTAATATAAGGTACGGAGATTATGATATAATTTTGTAATCAGTTCAATTCTCGATCTCCGATACCTAGTTTGATACGTGGACACTTATTGAAGCTCTATTGTAAAATACTTCACGCGATAGTAAATTGATAAAGAGAAGAAAGAACGAATGTTACAACTCGACCCAATAATCTCGTCTTTGTGGAAAATGATGAAATGATGAAAAATATGTACGATAGGGAAAAAAGAGACTTCAATAATTTCACTTTCAATATATTATTCGTGAGTCTCTTGGCCGTGCGTATTCTTACGGATAGAACTGAACACGAAAGGGCATGATATATCCGGCTTGTTGTGTGTCGCTTGCGTGATCCACCATCGGTTGTTTCCGGTTCAAACCTTGAAACGCACAACCGACAGTCGGTGCAGGGACGTCTTTAATGACACGAGAACACGAGTTCCTCGCGAAACCGTCGAGTAATGCTAAAAAAAAATTTTGAAATACGCGCGCGAGGATAAATTTCACGAAAGGAAAGCGCGAGAATAAAAAAAAAACTAATGAGTAAAAAGTAACGAGTAAAGTGAAGAGAATTCTGACGGCGTCCTGAAATATGACAATCGAACGATTAAAGAGCCATCAACACAGATTAAAAATTATATTTCTGAAGATGCGACATGGTTTTCGAGGAAAAAAACTGAAGTAATTGCACGATTCGAATAATACGCTCGTCGAAAAGTATTTCAAGTCGAACGAGGCGAAGTACTCGTGTTGCGCTCGACGCGTGCGCGAGAAAGGAATCACGAACGAGGGTCGAGGACAAAGGATACGCGAAACCAACGTCTCGAATTCAACAATGCATATGCCGATACATAAACCCCCCACATAAAAAGAAAAACGACAAATGTTCGAAGGAATAGCGCGCGCTTTCGGCCACGCGTCTGACAAAGCGAGCGCCTCTCGATAGCGGACGTTTAGTCCAGAGGACAAAGTAAGATCCATAGCTTTCGCTTCAAAGCTTCGACGCTTCGAAGCTTTGTCTCCTTATCCGCCACATATCTCTCTCGCCGATCGACTTTTTGCGATCGAGCATTCCTACCTGTTCCTTTGTCTACCTGTTTACCGCCCGCGAACTGTCACGCGCGCGACCTCGTGTTTATCGCATGACGATTCGGATTCGAGCCTCGAACAAAGATTACTCGAAAATTCGACGTTCCGACGCGAAGTGCCGTCGGTATTCAAGAGGTCCGTCTCTCTTCATCGCGAAGAATCTCTCGAGAAGTCTTTCTCGAGAGTCTCTCGCGCGACATCGCGGCGTGCAGAGCGGGGAGCGTCTAAATGGACGAGATGAGGAGACTGTATGTACGTGCGACCGTACACCGCGACGGACGAACGGATGAAACGGTACATCAGCGTGCCCGACGATGAAGTCAACGGGGGGAACAATCATTTCATAATAATGAAGACGTCACACACCGCGGGTGTTGAAGCGAGAGCGCGGGTATTGTCGTCGGTGCGGTGCAAAGGGTACTAACCTGAGGCGAAGGCCGCGGCGACGAAGAGCAACAGAACGATCTTCATGTTTAGTGTTGCCGATTACCGCTGGCAGTTGGCGATCAAGCAGTCGTTTCCGTTTCCGACTCTCTCGCTCGCTCGCTCTCTCTCTCTCTCTCTCTCTTTCGTCTCTCTCGGAATACACCGGATGTTAGTGCGTTAGGGTCGCGTTCTCGGACTGGCCTCGCGCTGCGCCGTGGGCCCCCTTAAGAGTCTTCTGCCCGGATCCCGGAGGAGGGGGTCGTTGAAGATGATTCACTGGCTAACCTAGAGCCAGGACGAGGGACGAGCCCAACGCGAAGGGGACGGCTGTGGCGGCTGTATGGCGGCGGTGGCCAGAGACGACGGCGGCGGCGACGACGTGGAGACGAATCGAAAAGTAATCGAGTCGCAAAAACAAAAGGGGGGAAAAAAAAGAGGAGAAACGGAGGAGAAAAAGGAGGAAGGGAGAAGAAAGCGGGTGACAAGGTCGAAGGGAGGAGAGACACAATGAGTGTCCCTCTACGACGTGAGTGAACGAGTCGCGGAAGATGGCAGTTTCGCGATCGATGACGCCACGCTTCATTTGGCACGGGACCTGTGGTCCCCCCTCCCCCCCCCCCC